ACGTTGATGGATTTTCGTATGTTGAACCATCCCTGCATCCCTGGGATGAAACCTACTTGATCGTGGTGAATGATTGTTTTGATGTGTTCTTGGATCCGATTTGCCAGTATTTTATTGAGTATTTTTGCATCAATGTTCATGAGGGATATTGGTCTGAAGTTCTCTTTCTTGGTTGTATCTTTGTGTGGCTTGGGGATCAAGGTTATTGAAGCCTCATAGAAAGAGTTTGGCAAAGACCCTTCTGCTTCTATTGTGTGGAACACTTTGAGAAGAATTGGTATAAGCTGTTCTTTGAATTTGTGGTAGAATTCTGCACTGAGGCCATCTGGACCTGGACTTTTTTTGGTTGGGAGACTTTTGATGACAGCTTCTATTTCCATAGGGGTTATAGGTCTATTTAAATTGCTTATCTGTTCTTGATTTAGTTTTGGCAAATGATAGCTGTCCAGGAAGTCATCCATTTCCTTTAAATTTTCGAATTTTGTGGAGTACAGGTTTTCAAAGTATGACCTAATGATTCTCTGGATTTCCTTAGAGTCTGTTGTTATGTCCCCCTTTTCATTTCTGATTTTGTTAATTTGCGTGTTCCCTCTCTGCTGTTTGGTAAGTTTGGACAAAGGTTTGTCTATCTTGTTGATTTTCTCAAAGAACCAACTCTTCGTTGCATTGATTCTTTGTATTGTTTTCCTGGTTTCTACTTTGTTGATTTCAGCCCTCAATTTGATTATTTCCTGGCGTCTACTCCTCCTGGGGGAGTTTGCTTCTTTTTGTTCTAGAGCTTTTAGCTGTGATGTTAATTCTCTGGTATAACTGTTTTCCTGTTTCTTCATGTGAGCACTTAGTGCTATGAACTTCCCCCGTAGCACTGCTTTCAAAGTGTCCCATAGGTTTGGGTATGTTGTGTCTTCATTCTCATTGAATTCGAGGAAGTCTTTAATTTCTTTTTTTATTTCCTCTTTGACCCAGGGATGGTGCAGTTGAGCATTATTCAATTTCCATGAGTTTGTAGGTTTTCTGCAATTTGTGTTGTTGTTGAATTCTAATTTTAAGGCATGGTGGTCTGATAAGATGCATGGAGTTATTCCAATTTTTTTGTAGCTGCTGAGGTTTGATATGTTGCCAAGTATGTGGTCGATTTTTGAGAAGGTTCCATGTGGTGGTGAGAAGAAGGTATATTCTTTTTTATGTGGATGAAATGTTCTATAGATATCTGTTAATCCCAGTTGGGTCATTACTTCTATTAGACCCTTTGCTTCTTTGTTGAGTTTCTGTCTGGTATTCTTGTCTAGTGGTGAGAGTGGTGTGTTGAAATCTCCCACTATAACTGTGTGGGGCTTTAGATGAGATTTAAGTTCTAATAATGTTTCTTTAACGAATGTGGATGCCTTTGTATTGGGGGCATAGATGTTCAGGATAGACACTTCATCTTGGTGGGTTTCACCTGTGATGAGTATGTAATGACCTCCTTCATCTCTTTTGATTGATTTTATTTTAAAGTCTAGTTTGTTAGATATTAGGATTGCTACCCCTGCTTGTTTCTTGGGTCCATTTGATTGAAAAACTTTTTCCCAACCTTTAACTCTCAAGTAATGTCTGTCTTTGAGGGTGAGGTGTGTTTCTTGTATGCAGCAGAAGGAAGGGTTCTGTCTTCGAATCCATTCTGCTAGTCTGTGTCTTTTTATGGGTGAGTTAAGGCCGTTAATATTGAGGGATATTAATGACCATTGATTGCTCATCCTTCTTCGATTTGCGATGGTTGTTGTTGGTGGAATTATGGGTGGAATTTCACCCCTTTGTTCTTTTGGCTGTTGGTAGAGAGGGATTCTCTAATGCTTATGTTTTTCTGGTTGTAGTTAGCTTCCTTGGGTTGGAGTTTTCCTTCCAAAATTTTCTGTAGGGCTGGGTTAGTGGACACATATTGGTTGAATCTAGTTTTGTCATGGAATATCTTGTTTTCTCCGTCTATAGTGATTGAGAGCTTTGCCGGGTATAGTAGTCTGGGCTGGCATCCATGGTCTCTTAGTGTAGGTAGAATATCTATCCAGGACCTTCTGGCTTTCAGAGTTTCCATGGAGAAATCAGGTGTAATTCTGATAGGTCTGCCTTTATATGTTACTTGACCTTTTTCCTTAGCTGCTCTTAATATTCTTTCTTTATTCTGTATGTTTGGGGTCTTGATTATTATGTGGCGAGGGATTTTTTTGTGGTCCACTCTATTTGGTGTTCTGTAGGCTTCTTGTACCTTCATTGGCATGTCTTTCTTAAGGTTGGGAAAGTTTTCTTCTATGATTTTGTTGAATATGCCTTCTGCCCCTTTGAGGTGGATTTCTTCTCCTTCTTCTATACCTATTATTCTTAGGTTTGGTCTTTTCATGGTGTCCCATAATTCCTGGATGTTTTGTGTTAAGGATTTGTTGGATTTAAGGTTTTCTTTGGTTGATAAATCCATTTCTCCTAATGTATCTTCAACACTTGAGATTCTCTCTTCCATCTCTTCTATTCTGTTGGTAATGCTTGTATTGGTAGTGCCCGACTGTTTGTCCAGCTTTTCTATTTTCTGCCTTTCTTCAGATTGTGTTTTTTTTTAGTGTCTGTATTTCAGTTTTCAACCCTTGCAGCATTTGCATTGCTTCTTGCAATTTTCTGTTTATCTGTTCGTCCGTTTGTTGCCTTTTATGAATTTTTTGGTTTGTTCTTTCTTCCATTTCTTGCATTTTTTGGTTTGCTTTTTGTTCCATTTCTTGGATTTTGTGCTTTGTTTCTTCTTCCATTTCCTGCCTTTTTTGGTTTGTTTCTTCCTCCATTTTTTTCATTTTTTGCTTTGTTTTTTCTACCATTTCTTGCATTTTTTGCTTTGTTTCTTCTTCCATTTCCTGCCTTTTTTGGTATGTTTCTTCTTCTAATTCTTGCATTTTTTGCTTTGCTTTTTCTTCCATTTCTTGCATTTTTTGCTTCATTTCTTCTTCCATTTCGTGCCTTTTTTGGTTTGTTTTTTCTTCCATTTCTTGCATTTTTTGGTTTGTTTTTTCTTCCATTTCTTTGAGGGATTTTCCAATATCCTCTTTTAGGGCCTCTATCATTTTCATGAAAGTGCTTTTAAGGTCGTTCTCTTCTGCTTCCTTCGCGTTGGAATATTGGGGTCTTGCTGGTGTGGAGTCTCTAGAATCTGGCAGTGTCATATTTGTTTTTCTGTTGCTGACTGTGTCTTTGTATTGTCTCTTTCCCATCTCTTCTTCTAGTGGGTGCAGAAAGAGCCCCTTCCTGGTCTGGGGATCAGAGTTCCCTTTTGGTGGGTGCTAGTAAGTCCAGTAATCTGGTGGTTCTTCTATACCTTGTCCAAATGCTGGTCCGTGGGTAGAGAAGAAGAACAGGAATCTGGGGCGCTTAGCCTCCTACCTGGTCCCCTGGACCCTATGCTGGGTCCTGTTGTACCTGATCCGGAACAGCTACTCCCCTGGTCTCCCTGGCTCCTGTAGTTTCCTGGTCTCTTTGGTGGGAGAGAAGATCTGGAGTCTGGGGTGCTTGGCTCCCGCTGGGATTGGGAGCTCTGTGCAGTTCCCAGGCGATCTGCAGGCTCTGGAACACAGGCCGGGAAGCTGGCCTGTTTACCTGATGCTGCCAGAGGGACAGCTACTTCCCTGTACTCCCAGCCTCCTCTCGTTTCCTAGTCTCATTGGTGGGAGAGAAGATCTGGAGTCTGGGGTGCTTGGCTCCCGCCGGGATTGGGAGCTCTGTGCAGTTCCCAGGCGATCTGCAGGCTCTGGAACACAGGCCTGGAAGCTGGCCTGTTTACCTGATGATGCCAGAGGGACAGCTACTTGGTTCTGTAAGTTCTTATACTTTCATGGGCATGTCCTTTTTTAGTTTGGGAAAGTTTTCTTCTATGATTTTGTTGAATATGTTTTTGTGTCCTTGAGCTGTATATCTCCACCTTCTTCTATACCTATTATTCTTAGATTTGGTCTTTTCATGGTGTCCCATATTTACTTGATATTTTGTGTTAGGGATTTGTTGGACTTGAGATTTTCTTTGTTGGATGACTGTATTTCCTCTAGTGAGTCTTCAACACCTGAGTTTCACTCTTCCATTGCTTGTATTTACATCTGTAATTTCTGACCATTTACCCAACTTTTCAATTTCCAGATTTCCAGCATTCCCCCATTCTGTGTTTTCTTTATTGTTTCTATTTCACTTGTTTGGTTGTTTTTTTCTTGGCTTTTCTTGCTTTATTTAAGAGTTTTATTTATTTCTTCATTTTTTTGGTTTGTCTTTTCCTCTATTTCCTGTATTTTTGTTTGTTTTTATCTTCCATTTCTTTAAAGGATTTTCTCATTTCCTCTTTGAGGCTCTCTATAGTCTTCATAAAGTTGTTCTTAAGGTCTTTCTCTTCTGCTCCATCTGCAATGGGATGTTCAGGTCTTGCTGGTGTACAGTCCCTAGATTTTAGTTGTGTCATATTGGTCTTTCTATTGTTGAATGTGTTGGTATATTGTCATCTTCCCATCACTTTTCCAATGTGTACAGGTGGGTCTGTCTCTCTCTTCTCATCTCCCAGTGGGTGTAGATGGGTCAAGACTTTGTGTCAGCAACCCTGGAGGGTCCAAGTTCTCTGTGAGTTCTCAAACAGTGGGCATAGGGGAGCCAAGACTGTGACAAGGGCAGACTCTGGATGGTTCAGCGTGCCGTGGCTGGTCCACTCAAACAGAGGATGTAGGGGGGCCAAGACTCAAGCAGACAGAATAGAGGGGTCAAGATTGTGATGAGGGCAGGCTCCAGATGGTCTGGCACACCAGGACAGGTCCATTACACAGAGAGCTGACCCAGGAAGTTCCATGGAGAAGATGGGGGAAGTTGGGCCTGAGGAGGTCCCACACTTGACTCAAGCAGAGGGCATTGGGGGGTCGGGCTAGAGTATAGTTTATATGGGGAGTAGGTTACAATTGATAGAGTGATTCTCTTCATAATAACTATATCTAATTAAAATTCCATTTAACCTTAAGAATGACACAGTGATGAGCACGGTGACTGTGAGAGAGAATGTAGAATTCTCAGCAGCTCTTCAACTTCCAATGTCTGTAACAAGAGATGGAAAAAAAAGCGAGTTAATGAGATCCTTGAACTTCTGCATCTGAATGAGAAGTCAAATGTCAAGGTAATGTGAAGAAAAATCTTTAAAGACTCAGAGCAAAAGAAGGAAAATGCCTGTGTAGATTATATGTTTCTTATAATGTGTATTGTCAAGGCACCTATTCTCTATATCAATGACTGAGTGACTGGTTACATGATGTAAATAGGAAATTAAGCTGGGAAACCTTGTAGCAATGATAAAGTCTGGGAATGGAGTGTGATTCAGTATGAAAACAAGTCCTCACATGGCCATTTCCATGTGTTCCTCACATGACCATTTCCATGTGTGTTACTCACATGATCATTTCCATGTGTGCCTCAAATGAGCCTCCTTTTCCTTCAACCTGAAACTCTTGACTCTTTAGAGAATTTGACAAGTGCTCTCTTCTGTTTATTGTCTTTTCCCCTCCAGCACTTGCTCCTTTGTTGTTTCAGATTGTATTTCTGGACTGATGTAGGACATGAGATGGAGGACTCTGGCTCTGTGTTTCACTCTGCATTTATATCCCTTCAGGGTTGTACTTGGACTCTTTAGTATTTACTTTTACTTGTTTAGTGCCTGTAATTTCCTGTAGCCTTTCTCTCTGAGTTTTTATCCTATCCTGTCTGTGGTGGCTAGTTTTAACTGTCAAGTTGACATAGTCTAGAATCACATGGAATCACATAACCCAGAGTCCCTATGAGGAATTGTGGTCAGGTTGCCTTGCAAGCATCTCTGTATGTGTTTGTCTTAAGTTAAGAAATGTGGAAAGACCCAGCCCATCATAGGCCACACCATTCTTTGGATTTGGGTCCTGAGTAGCATGAGGATAGAAAAAGAGAGTTGAGCACTGACAGTCATGCATGCATTCATACTCTCTGTGCTCTTGAATGGATGTAACCAGCTCCATCAGCTTCCTGCCCTGACTTCCCTTCAATGTGGGACTGTACTTTTGGACTGTGCAGAAATAAAACTTTTGTTTCTTGCTTACTTTTTATAAGATCATTTTATCTTAGCAAGTGGATGGAAACCTAGGATATCCTTTTGCCCTCATTCTCTGTTTCCTTATCTTTTGTCAATATTTATTGACATCTCTTATGTTGGGTGTTAGTGATACAGATGAGAAAGAGAGACAAAAATGGACCCAGTGACACCTATGAGGATTTGTGCAAGCTCAGTAGGAATAATAGATGAGTGTTGAACTTCACATCTAAGTAGTTTCTTGGTGACATATTTAAAAAATACTATGCAATCCTTTATTCCTGAATACTTAATTTTTATTAAAATTAAAAACAAGGACATTTGCTTATATTAACAATTCTACTCTTAAGTATCAAGATGAACAAAATCTTGATATCCTCAGTGATGACAGGGCTATAACCATTCATATTGCCCAAATGTTCTTATTAGTATGTTGTCTGTAGAACCTGATAGGTACTGTATTTGTTATATACTTAGAGATTATAATACCAAGATTGCTTCCCTCTTCTTGTTTCCTCTGAGCCATCCTGTCACATGACTCTAACCCATTGAGAAGATTATATATAGATGTCTGCTTGGTAACCAAGTAGGGGTAGGGATGGAAATGATCTCCCTAGACTAGTATTCTAGTGGACTAACTCCTGTGCTGGCTGTGCCTTAGAGGCAGTGAGGAATAGAAAGATACTGGCTCTTGACTCCAATGATTCTTCTCCACAGTCATTCATGAGATATTTGTCATGTTAGGAAGAACAGTAGAAAAGCTGACAATTACCACATTCTCTTTTTTCATGAGAGATGGAATTTTGTGTGAATTGGCACTGATTTTGATTTATAATAAGATACTTTCTTATCTATGTTTAAGAATAACCAGTCATGCTGGACATTGATGGCACACGCCTTTAATCTCAGCACTCGAGAGGCAAAGGCAGGTGGATCGTGGTGAGTTCGAGGCCAGCTTGGTCTACAGAGCAAGTTCCAGAACAGCCTCCAAAACAATACAGAGAAACCCTGTCTCGAAAAACAAACAAACAAACAAAATAAAAAGAATAACCAGTCATTGTCTTAAATTGCTTGTTGGTTTTTAATGGACAACACATAAAGATATTTGTTAACTTCTTGGAGTCATGAAATATAATTGATTGCAAGAATTTTCATAAAACTTTTAAATGACAACTTTAACTTTCAAAAAGTTTCTCTGTGTGTGTGTGTGTGTGTGTGTGTGTGTGTGTGTGTGTGTGTGTGTGCCTGAAGGCCATAGAACACTCATGGAGGTCATAGGACACCTTTGTCTAGGGTTCATTCTCTCCTCCCACCCTGCTTTTAAGGCAGGGTCTGACCTGTTCTGCTGATGTCCTCACATGCCTGATGCTCCTGATCTACCTCCCATCTCACTGTGATCACGTCTTGATGGAATACAGATTCCTGCTGCTGCATGAAGTGCTTTTCCCTGCTAAAGCTTCTTTTCAGCCTTTCATTTAAGAAATGAAGAGGGAATATGTGATAACTGATATGTGGCTAGCACAAGTACACTTGCTAATACCAACCTCCTGGGCTTCCCAGTGTTCACAATGGCATCTCCCTAAACCTGTTTCTCACTGTGGCATTTTAAAACAATTGGTAGTATCTTACTCCTGAGACTTAAGTACTTTTCATCCATAAAAATAAGAACATCTGCTTATCTATAAACCCTATTCTTAACTATCCAAATAAATGATTCCTTCATATCCTCTGCCTTGTCCTGACCACACTCATCCACATTCCCCAAACAACAGTTATTGTATGTTGTCAGTGGGGTTTGATCATGGTTTGCTTAACATCTTTGGAGAGAATTTTTCCCTACTCTGTGTCCCCCTAAACCTTGCGATTCCCTCTCAACTTACACAGTGGCACTGACTGGTACAAAGACTGTGCCAGTTTGACCTGAAGACCATACCACCTTTTGGATTTGTCTAGAAGGATGAATCATGAATTTTATGATACTGTACAGTGTAAATAATGTCTATTTTCAAAGTCTTAAGAAGTTTAAAAGGTCCTAGTAAGGCAATGTGGACTTTTTGATAAAAAGCAGTAGTTATATGTCATTTATCTAGTGTGTGTATGTATTTTGTTGTGTGTTTGTTGTGTGTGTATTTATATCTATGTTGTATAGAGTGTATATCTGTGTTGGGTGGGTGTTAAATGACTACTAAATTCTTAGAGATGCTTCATCTTTTCCTGCCTGTCTTCCTCATTCCTTAGACAGAGATTCCACTGTGCCAGTCTGGGAGTTGATAAATCATTGCCCTAGAATATGTGATTTGATAAACTAAAAACAGCAACTGTCACTAGCTTGGGCTTCATGTCAACATTGACCTGAGCCTCTTCCTACTCCCTTGGAAAAGAGGAATGTCCTCCTTCTTCTCCCAGGTACCCACACTCTGCTCCTCAGGATATTGATATAGCAAAACCTTTTATTGCTGGAACCAGTGAATTCACCAAATGACAATGACTGTGGTTGTCCTTGTTGATAATGATGGCCATTGGTGCTTTAGCCTAGATCTAAGGAGCTCATGAAGAGGACCAGTATAGCAATGGAGCTGGTCGCCGAACATCCCATTTTGTTCTTGGATGATCCCACCACTGACTTAGACTTGAGAACTACTAATAATGTCATCTCAGTCCTGAAAAGGTAAGGGCTGAAGAAACATTGTTTTTTTTTTCACTAAATATCTGGTCACTTGTGTGCATTTTGGTGCAGGAAATTCAGAAGTAAGCAACAGAATTTCTTCCTTGTTTATTAGAGGGAAACATTCATTAACAAGGAATACACATTGAGAACAATGAGAGAAAAGTATAGGGAAAGATGGCTGTGGTGAAGGTGGAGCACTGCTTTAAACAGCGTGTCCTCATGACACTCAATCACGTGACAAGTGAGCTGGGGGTGAGTGAGTGAGAGCTGAACAGAGTGCTGGATGGAGGGAAAACTCATTTGTTCTCTGGATAAGCATGTGTGGCATGTCTAGAACATTAGGGAGACAGGGTAGACTGACTCAGTGAACTGAGGAGATAGAAATTTGTTAGTTTGCTGCCAAGGACACCACAGACTGGGTTGTATTAAATTTCTTACAGTTCTGGATTGGGAAGCCAGACATTAAGGTATCCACAGGCTGTGTCAGTTGCAGCCTGGATCACTGATTGTGGATGGTGTCTCCTCCCTCTTCATGTGTCTATGCCCTGATCTCTTAAATGGATACCAGTTACATTAGGCCACACTAGCAATCTCATTTAAACTTGATTACCTTTTTAAAGACTATGTCTCCATGACAACCGCATTCTAAGTTCTTAGATGTGAGGTCTGCCACAAATGATTCTTTGAAAGGACACAATTCAGCCATCCACATTCACAATTGGAGTGAGAGGGATTGTGTGGGTTGGGTGTAGATTGCCTGGACCACCCCCGCCACTAAGGTTTTCCATGGTGGGGATGTGGGAAAGCTTCTGAGTTTAGATCAGAGAAACGCATCATGGAGAAGTTGTACAGCTGCACTATGGACATAAAGATGTCAATAGGACCCTGAGGTGTAGCAGTTACTATGCTAGGAAATGGTGAATTCTGGGTAGCTTTGAATAAGGAATAAATAGGATCATCTCTGGGATTAGCCATGGCTGAGAAACAATTCCTAAGGTCTGAGTCCTGAACCTGAATAAGAGTAAGTAAAAGAAATGCTACTTCCTTTTTTCAAGAAAGAAGTCTGTGCCTGAAATATTTATAGAAAAAAATGTATAAGGGATAAGTTTTGTACATTTTAGAAATGCATAGAGTTCCAAACTGACTGAAGAAACCCAAGAACCATATAAAGGCTAACCCATTCCCATGACATGTGCTCCTGGTGGTCGAACTTACTATGCTCTGTAGGAGGAAGTTTGTATGCCGCCATTAAACATGTGACTTATTAGAGGCGCATACAGATGAGGTAATAAAAGGGCGGTTTACCACACCGCTAACCACACCCACTTTAGGCAGGACTAAAGACGTATACGGCTGGATAAAGACGTATACGTACGTAGGTGGAACTACGTCACTAGCCAGGCCCACTTTTGGGCATGGCTAGGGGGTGTTACGGGGGAAGATATAAAAGACAGCACACAGGAAGTCTCGGTCTCTTTTCCCGGAGTTCGGCTTCCGGTTCGGCAGCGGAAAACTGCTTGTCTCATCTGGGTTACTTGTTTGGTATCTTGTGAGTAATTTCTACAATAAATACTTAGTTTTACTTCCAGTAAGTGTCGCTTATCGTTACAGCATCCATTGAAGCCTACAATGCTCTCTGTATTTTCTTCCTTCCCCCTGTTCTTTGTTTTGTTCTAACATCATGGTTCACCACCCTAAACACCCCTGCCTGTACTTCCAAAATCCAAGATCTCTCCATCATTGTACCTCTCCATCGAGGATGTCAACAACTGGGGACTTGCCACCTTCTAGTCTGCAGACTCCTCAGGTGTCACCCCTTTCCCCTGTCTGTCCCCTTTCCTGTCTGCTTCAGGATACTCTAAGATCAAGTTCTTGTTCAATTTCCAATATCGAACGCTCCTCTTTGTCAATGTGTCTTATGCCAAGGCTAGTCTTAGTGCATTACAAAAGGTCATCCTAAGTGAGGATTCTCCCAGTGTTCCGGGAGCAGGCTCAGGCCCTGATGTGCTGTGTTCTCCTTGGTCTGCAACACTCCTGGAGTTCATTCATGTGGTAGATTACTTTTTTAATATTTATTTATATTTATTGTGTGTGTGTGTGTCTGTGTGTGTCTGTGTAGCACTCGTGTGGAGGTCAGGGGACAAGTCAAGGAGTCGGCTTACTCCTTCCACCAAGTTGATTCTGTAGACTAAACTCAGTTCTTTAGACTTGGTAGCAAGATCCTTTACCCACTGAGCCATCTCATTTGCTTGACTTGAATTTTGATCATCTAATCAAGCGGTGGGTGCTGGGTTATAGAATATGAAATTGCAGTTTTTGTGATTTATTAATAGTCTTACAGGGAAAACAATCAACTATTATGTCATTATTCTGCCCTTGTTTCCAACAACTAGTTGTCCTGGTGGAATTCAAGGTGTACATTACCATGCCCAGCTTTCTCCCTCTCTGTTCTCTCTTCTTTTCTTTTCCTTCCTCCCTTCCTCTGTTCTTTCCTTCCTTCTGACCATCCTTCCTTCCTCCATCCATCCCTCCCTCCCCCTCTCTTTCATTCATACTTTCTTTTGTCTTTTTGAAACAGGGTCTTATGTATCCTATTTATTCCTGATCCTCCCACGTGCTGAGATATTACAGTTATGCCACAATACTCATCTTTAATAAAAGTATTTTCACAGTAGTTGTAAACAGTTTTTGGTTATTGATTCTCCTAACAGAAGATACGACATCCTGAAATGGTTCAGCTTATTTTTTCCTATCATAGAATTAAACCAATGATCATACCCTAGGCTTGCCCCTCATTAACTGTGACCCCTTGGTCTGTTGCTTGACATTTAAAGCCTTATCAAGGGTGAAATTAGATTAGAATCAACTTATGCCGATATTGTAAAGATTAAAATGAGGTTTTTGCTGAAGTGCTTAGCAAGGAGAGCAAGATTAGGAATGTGAATCACATTTTCAGAACAGTGAAAACCACTTCCTGATGAGGCAGAAAGTAAATGATTAGAGGGAATTTTGCATACAGTCATCAATTTAATATTTGCTCTGCCATTGGTTCTCAAGCTTGAGTGAACCTGTCCATCACCTGGGTTGCCTGTTCATGATATGGACTCCTTGCACTGACTCCCAGATTTTCCCACTCAGTGTCTAGAAGACTGCCAGGGATCTATGCAGTAACACTTGAGTGGACCGTGGACTACTGACATCCCACATGTTAGTAGTCCTAGTACTTTAAACGAAAGCTTTAGCTTGGCTTTCTCTCAGGTGAGATGAGGTACTTTTTAAGGAAAATTCAAGCTGAAATGGGAACTAAGACTATAACTTCAGGAATAAAACATTTTGTTAGGAGTTTCAAGATTCCTCTATCTGGTGACTTATGGTTTTTCCCTCTTTAAACATAGGATGTCTATGAGGGGACAAACAATCATCTTCTCCATTAATCAGCCCCCATACTCCATCTTCAGATGTTTTGATAGCCTCACCTTAGTGGCATCAGGAAAAGTCATGTTTCACGGCCCTGCACAGAAGGCCTTGGAGTACTTCACATCTGCAGGTATGACTTTTGCTGTGAGAGGTCCTTCATACACAGGATCTGGGAGGAGAACAGAGGATCTCAGGAATGTGAATTAACCCTCGTGTAAACATGCTGTGTGTGGGTTTCTCCATTTTCTAGGCCTTTCGTTAATGTGGTGACAGGATTCTGTTAGCTGTGAGACACGGGCTTGTTGATCAGGTCTCTCTTCTTTCTCCTGTCCTGTGTCACCTGTGTCACAGTGTTTACTGACTCACTCGTTCTGCCTCCCGGTCAGGCGACTCTCTTGGTTAACATGCCGGCACCAGGTGCAGTTATCCCTCATGGGACAGCTTTGGAAAGGCCCAGTGTCCTCATGTTCTTGCTCACATAGCAGATGGTGGTTTTCAGTTTTCTCTTATCTTGATCTGACTCTGAGAACTGGAGATATCACTTAACTTAGTAGTAATTTTGCGTTTCAGGATAAGGCAATATTGGTGGCTTAAGTCTGGCTTCTGTGGACTTCTGTTTTTCATCTGCCTGGTTTGTTCAGAGTCAGATTCAATGATTGTTACAACAACTCTTCATGCCAGCCTCGTCCTAGTGCCAGCCCAAATAACACACAGAGACTCTATAAGTTATAATGCTGCTGGCCAATATCTAGGACTTCTTATTCACTAGCTTTATCTTAAGTATTAAACCCATAACTACTAATATATTATATATATTTCTACAATGTCTTTTCTTACTGAGAACACCAGACTCATGCATCCTCTCCTCCCCCTGTCCTCCTGGGGTCACATGGTGACTCCCTACTACATTTCCCAGAATCCTTCTTCTCTCCTAATCCCACCTATCTTGCTTCCCTATTGGCCAACAGTGTTTCAATCATCAACCAATAAGACAGACATATTTACGAAATGACATCTCCCACCAAAAGATGACATATTTTTCAGTGGTTCATGCTGTTAGTTTCATCTTTGTGAAATATGAATATATTTATGGATTATTCTCTTGACTCTAAATATACATTTAAAAATTTCCTGTCCATAACTCTTTATTTGTTTTTTATTAATCTTCATCATTTAAAGTTGTATAAACATTTGTGATTTTTTTGAAGTCCTATAAAATAGAGGCCACATTCAAATAATTCTTTCATAGGAATAGTTCATATATATATATATCATTCACATAAACATACAATATATTCATAAGATTGTATAGACATATATCATACATATATATATTAGACTGGGATGCAGATATTTTTGAAATAGTATGAGTGTATACATATTAGGAAAGGATAAATTAGTTGGGGGGAAGAAAAGGAAATACTTCTTAAATTCTGTCTCCCCTCCCTTTTCCCACTCTCTGAAAGAGGATTTGAGTTCATGGCCTACCTTCTTTGTAGGTTATGACTATGATTCCCATAACAACCCTGCAGACTTCTTCCTTGACATAATTACTGGAGGTTTCTCTGCTATATTAGACACAGAGGAAGATGATCATGAAGGTACGTGAGTTCTAGAGTCAAATTTTTACCTAACTGATTTCATTAAAACACAATTGTGGTTCATTAGAATAGAGGCTTTTTTTTGGTTTTTTCAAGACAGGGTTTCTCTGTATTGTTTTGGAGGCTGTCCTGGAACTCGCTCTGTAGACCAGGCTGGCCTCGAACTCACAGACATCTGCCTGCCTCTGTCTCCCAAGTACTGGGATTAAAGGTATGCACCACCAACGCCAGGCTAAAATAGAGCTTTTTATGTTAGCTAGGTGTCCTCAAGTTAGATAATAGTCACTGATGCCTGCTTGTGCTTTGTGTTTTTTATTTAACTTATAAAAGTAAATATATTCATTGTTTGCCATACTATTTATCATATTGTTTTAGACAGATTTTGCTTATTGTAGCCAGAGTGGCCTTTAATGTGTGCCCCTTCTTACTCATATTCCAAGCACAGGTATACGGGATAAATTGGCTAATTTTACATCAATTTGACACAAGCTAAAGTCCTGAGATGAGGGAACCTCTGTTAAGGTAATGCTTCTGTGAGATTGAACTGTAGGGCATTGTATTTATTAGTGACAGATGGGGAAGAGCCCAGCCCATTGTGTGTAGGGCTGTCCCTGGGATGGTTGTCCTGACTTCTATAAGAAAAAAAGAAGATCAGGCCACAGGGAGCAAGTCATATAGGCAGCACCTTCCATGGCTCTGCATCAGCTCCTGACTCCAGGATCCTGTCTGTGTGACTTCCTGTCCTGACTTCCATCAGTGATGCAGCACCGTGTGGACGTGGAAGTGAGATACCCTGCACCACCCCAACTTGCTTTAGTTCATGTGGTCCATGGCAGTAATAAAATCCCTCACTAACACACAGGGCTGTGTCACCCTGCCTGGATTTGTCTATAACATCTTAAAAACAAGATAGATGGCAGTTTTTGCATTTGCATAGACATTTGCATATACATTCATTTGAAGCACAGAGCAGGGACCAGACTTTTATGCTAAGAAATATAGATCCATCAGGGAAGTAGGACCTTGTTAAGAATCAACGATAGGAAAAGGCCATTCAGTTAGCTGTGTTCAGGGATAATGACAGCAGTCAGGTAAATCAGGGATACTTTTCCAATCTGTAAAGAATTATACAAGAGTAATTTTATTATGCTCAATTGTAGTAGGTTTAGGATCTAACTCAGCTGGTGGAATGCTTGCCTACCATGCATAAAGCCTTAAGTTTGGTTCTTAGTATTGCATAACTGGGAATGAAGGTACGTGTCTCACATCCCAGCACTTGAGTCAGAAACAGGAGCACCTGAAGAAGTTTAAGGTCACCCTTGGCTTCATAGCAACCATGAGGCCAGTCTAGGGTACATGAAACTGTCTCAGAGAAAAAAATGATACATAATTTATATGTTTTTCATGAAAATTGTCTCAGAAAAATCAATTCAACTATTGTCTGTTTCTTGTCTTTATCCACCTTTATCCTAAAGCCAACAATTATAAAGAACTTTCTGAGAGACAGCACCAAGTCACAGAAAAATTAGCCAATACATATGCTCAGTCCTCCTTATACAGAGAAAAGAGAACTGAACTGGATTTACTCTTGAGGGAACAGAAGTCCAGGAGGGATCCAGTCTTGGAGGAGAACATGTGTGCCACCCCTTTCTGGCATCAGCTCTGGTGGATTATCTCTCGTTCATTCAAAAATTTGCTGGGTTTTCCATGGGTCACTTCGATTCAGGTAATCTGATGAGTTAATATATTTTAATTATATTGTGGAAAACTCCACTGGGAGCAACTTGATTCTGAGTGAGTCCACTTCAGGATCACACTTACCTTCTACTCACTTCCATGTATTTGTACTCTCCTCTCTACTTGGCATAGAGAAATATTCAAAGCTTAGCAGTGGTGGTGCTTGCCTTTAATCCCAGTACTCAGGAAGCATGGGCAGGTGGATCTCTGCGAGTTTGAAGCCAGCCTGATCTAGAAAGCTACACAGAGAAACCCTGTCTCGGAAACTCAAAAAAAAAAAGAAATATTTAATAAAGGAAGTAGAACAAGATTAACATTACATTGCAGGAACTATTTTTAGCAGTTGTTTTTTATTTAGAAGAACTATAATGATTACTTCCAGTAGGAAATTTAATTCAGGGGGTACAAACTGTAATTCAGCACACCTGGGAGTTCCTCACATCTGTCTACTTTAATTCACCTATGCATCCTACAAGTGCAAGTCCAGGGCTGAGTAAACCAGGAAAAGGCTTTTTCCTGATGCGCTTTTCCTGTGGGTGGATGGATGGTAACAGGATAAATAGATGAATTTGTCGCGTGTCAGATGGGAGAATGGACCTGGAGAAAGTTAAAGCAGAGAAGGGGTGAGGATGACTGGAGAGGAGAAGGAGGGTTTATCTGGAGTTGAACTTGTGAGGTGAGGAAACAGGGCCATGGAACAGCTCTGAGGGAGCCTGTGCATCCACTCTTGAACCACGTGAAGTAGAAAGCTGCCCATGCTCGCTGGCACCAGAGTTGAGATCTCAGTTTAGGTGAACACTTTTTGTCACTTACGTTGGTGTGTCCCCTAACCTCCCAGGTGCCTGCATTCTTTTCCCCCCGTGTCACCCATGTTTCAGTACCTGACCTGAGCCCTTCACTGGCCCTTCCTGGTGGAGCACTGGGAGAAGTCTGAGCTTTCCAGGGTCTGTCCTATCAGAGTCTCAGATTGCAGGGACCTTAATTTTCAATTTAACATCCAAGCAGTCTATTGGCATGTGTGCTTTATATTCTCCCAGGGACTCTGACTAAAATATACTGTTTATCTCACTAGAGATATCTGATTAGGAAACCATATATCTTTATTTTAAAGTTTGTTCATTTTTAGTATTTTTACATTCCAACCCCTCCTTCCTCTCCCCCTGCCTCCCCACCTTCCCCTCCTCCTACCTCCCCACCTTTTCCGATCCTACCCGCCCATCTGCTCATCAGAGGGGATAAGGCCTTCCTTGGGGAGTCAGCAAAGTATGAGATACCAAGTTGAGACAGGACCAAGCCCGCTCCCCAAGTCAGGCTGGACCAGATACCCCACCATAGGTATTGGACTCCAAAAAAACAGTTCATTCACCCGGCATAGGTGCATGGACTGCTAGGGCCTCCTAGCCTCGGACAGATCAAGAGACATTACTGCCACCCACTTTCAGAGTGCCTAGGTTGGTATCATCCAGGTTCACCAGGTGTCATTTCAGACTCTGTGAGATACCTGTAGCTCAGGTCCATGTTCTTGACCCCCTTGCTCATATGATCCCTCCTCCCTCTCTTCAACTGAACTCCAGGAGCTCGCCTAGTGCTTGACTATAGATCATTGTATCTTCCATTAGTTACTGGATGTCGATGCTGTAATAGGAGTTAGGTGGTTACTAATCTGATTACAGGAGAAGGCCTGTTTAGGCATCCTCTCCACTATTGCTAGGAGTATTAGTTGGGGTTATCCTTGTGAGTTCATAGGAGTTTCCCTAACACCAGGTTTCTCCCTAACCCCATAATGCTCCATCTATCATGTAATCTCATGCATTGCTCTCCCTTTCAGTCCCTCCCCCAACTTGGCCATCTCCATCCCTCATGCTCCCATCCCCCATCTCCTTCCTTTACCATTTCCCCTTCCTGGGGCCCTCCTTGTATGTCCCTCTTATGGTCTTCCTTGTTACCTAGCTTCTCGGGGGCTGTGGATTAAGCCTGATTTCCTTTGCTTTACTTCTAACATCAACTTATGAGTGAGAACATACTCTGTTTGTCTTTCGGAATGTTTTTTATCTACACTCATCCATTTGCCTGCAAATTTCAAGATGCCATTGATTTGTTTTGCTTTTTCCTCTGAATAATACTCCATTGTGTAAATGTAACACATTTTCTTTATCCATTTTTGGTTGATGGGCATCTAGGTTGTTTCCGGGTTATGGCTATTACAAACAGTGGTACTAAGGACATAGTTGAACAAATGCCTTTCTGGTATGAATTTGCTTCCTTTGGGTATATGCCCAAGAGTGAAAAAATATATTTTGAAATAATGGTTTTCTACACCTAATAGAATTTTTTTCTTTTCCCCGGTTTCTTTTTGACAGGCAATTATCACAGCCATACTGGCGGTGATTGTGGGGGCCATTTTGCATGTCCTAAGAAATGATTGTAATGAAGTCCAGACCAGGTAGGCAAATTCAGATACTCATTTTCAGAAAATCCTGAAATTTGTTCAAACTTATATAAATCCATTAAGAATTGGAATTCGTGACAGGAACAGAGTAAACACTTTACCACATGATAGAATGTGTTGATACATTGAAAGCTGAGTGGAGGAACTCACTTTTTCACATGTTTCTATGGAGATAGTATGAATCTATACACACCACACATTTCACATTTTACCAGTTTTAGTGCATGAAGGAGCTTCATGTTATGTGACCATCACCTCACTGTAAACATAGGGCATTTCTTCATCTTCCCAAATGGAACCCCATAGACCTGAAAGGAGACTCCTCATACTACCCACTCCAGATACCAGGCATCAACCATTCTGCCTTCTATCATTGAATATGACAAATGTGGGAACCCTGAATTGGAGTCCCACAAGTATCTGTGTTTTGGTGTTTTTGATGTAGTTTTTGTTTGTTTTGGCTGGCTTTTTTCCATTGGTGTAATGTCCGCAGGTCCCAACAAAGTGTGGCATGTGTGGGGATTTCTTGGTCTCTGTAAGGCAGAGTAATATTCCATTGTATGTATTTGCTGTGTTGCTTCCCATTCACTGGAGCTGGATATGTGGTTTGCTCCCACATTTGACTCCTGTGAACAATGCTGTTAAGTGTGCAAGCACATCTGTTTGAGCCCTGGACTTTACTCTTTAGGTAGAAAGCTGGAGTTGACAAATCATAGGCCACTGTGTTGTTTGAGGAACTGCTGTCCTGTCTCCAACTCCACTGTAATATTTGTATCGTCACCAACAGGACACAGGGGCTCCAGTATGTCCACACACATCCTCACCCAACTTATGTTCTCTCTTGTTTGCAATAACATGTCTAAGAAAAATAATTTGTTTTTTATTATTATTTATTTTTAAGTTTAAATTTAGATTAGAAACAAGGTTGCTTCACAAGTCAGTTCCAGGTCCCTCTCCCTTTCCCTCCTCTCCTCCCGTGCCCTCCTCCCAACCCCCCCATTATTCCCTCACTTCCCCAGGGAGGGTGAGACCCTCCATCGGGGTGTCCATAGTCTGTCATTTCATCCAGGGCAGGGCCTAGACCCTCCCCTAAGAGTTCAGGGTGAGAGTGCATCTCACATTGTTGGATGGGAGTCCAAAGTCCGTTTGTATACTCGGGATGAGTACTGATATACTGCCCAAGGCTCAATAAATTACCTAGGACTCCTCACTGACACCCACATTCAGGGATTCTTGATCAGTTCCATGCTGGATTCCCAGGCTGATGCCTGGGATTCAAAAGTTAACCTTTGTCAGGTCAGCTGTTTCTGGGGATTAAACCAGCCCAGTCTTAATCCCTTTGGTCATCAGTCCTCCCTCTCTGTTACTGGCTTTCTTGAGTTCAGCTCAGTGCTTAGCCATGGGAGTGTGCCTCTTCTTCCATCAGCCACTGAATGAAGTTTCTGTTTCCCAGACTCTCTGGCCGTGGGATTGTAGGCTGGCACTCCCTAGATCTATGTCTAAAATCCATATATGAGAGAGTACATGCCATGTTTCTCTTTTTGTGACTGGATTACCTCACTCAGGATGGTTTCTTCTAGTGTCACCCATTTGCCTGCAAATCTCAGGATTCCATTGGTTTTTTTTTCTGCTGAATAGTAAGTGCTCCATTGTGTAAATGTACCACATTTTTTCTATCCACTCTTCAGTTGAGGGGCATCTAGGTTGCTTCCAAGTTCTGGCTATTACAAATAATGCTGCTATGAACATAGTGGAACAGACATCCTTGTTGTATGAATGGGCATCTTTTGGATATATGCCTAAGAGTGGAGTTGCTGGGTCTTGTGGTAGGTTTATTCCCATTTTTCTGAGGAATCTCCATACTGATTTCCAAAGTGGCTGAACAAGTTGGCACTCCCACCAGCAATGGAGGACTGTTCCCCTTTCACCACATCCTCTCCAGCATAAATATCATTGGTGTTTTTTATTTTAGCCATTCTGACAGGAGTGAGATGGTATCTCAGAGTTGTTTTGATTTTCATTTCCCAGATGGCTAAGGATGTTGAGCACATTCTTAAGTGCCTCTCAGCCATTTTAGACTCCTCTACTGAAAATTCTCTATTTAGTTCTGCAGCCCACTTTTTAATTGGATCCTTCGGTGTTTTGGAAACCTGCTTCTTGAGTTCTTTGTAAATTTTGGAGATCAACCCTCTGTCAGATGTGGGATTAGTGAATATTTTTTCCCATTCTGTGGGCTGTCTTTTTGTCTTGCTGACTGAGTCCTTTGCCTTACAGAAGCTTCTCAGTTTCAGGAGGTCCCATTTATTAATTGTTGATCTCAGTGTCTGTGCTACTCGTGTTATGTTCAGGAAGCTGAAATACCAACTAATTTTGGAGGAAATAATAAACATAAAAATCCCTTCTTCTGTGAGTTTGCTTCCATGTGGATCAGAAGTTAGTCTGCAGTGAGACAGTTGTTACAGCGATTTCCAGTCTGTTGTCTTTTCATCTTCCCTGAAGACCAAGATCTGAAAGCTTTCCAAATCTTCTAGTACTTGGTTTGTGCCATGTGTAGATGGCACATCCTAACCTAGCACAGCATAGACAAGAAGATAGATAGTGTAAGCACTGTCACAGGATAGATGGTGTAGACCCTATCACAGGAAGCATTCAGACATAAACTCTGAAAACTGATGTAGAAATGTTCTTGGAAAATGCAAACATAAAGAAGAGCTTTGTTAACTGTTTCTTCATATTCTTTTTAGAAATTGTAAAATGTGCTTAATTTGCATTTTTCACTTCCTCTGGTACCAGTATTTTCTAAGAAGTTGAACTGTGTGACAATGGCCTTTGTGTGTGGTTTATTTTGGTTGTCCTGATTAGAGGTTGATTCTTTTAGTTAGTATGTTGGTTAGTTTTTTGTCAACTAACACCAGCAAGAGTCATATGGAAAGAGGAACCTCAATTAAGAAAACGAACCTATCAGGTTGGCTTATAGACAAGTCTGTTAGAAATTTCCTTGATTAATGATGGATGTGAGAGTGACCAGTCCACTGGGAGCAGTGTTACCCTTAGGCAGGTTGTTCTGAGTTGTATAAGAATCAGGATGACCAAGTCATGATGGGTAAACCAGTATGGAGCAATACTCCATGGCCCCAGCTTCCCTCCCTGTCGCCAAGATCCTGCCTGACATTCCTCAGGAATGTACTGTGACCTGGGATATGTAAGTCCCATTCTCCCTAAATTACTTTTAGTCACAGTCATAATCACAGCAAAAGAAACCTATACAGAACAGTTGGAAACACTTCCTCAACATCATCTGAGGAATAAAGGTATAAATTATTTTCAGGGCCAATATCAATATCTTCATCATCAGTAATGTTCAGAGCTCCAGAGATGCTTCTCATGTTTGGATACAGAATTGCCTTTGTACTTTGTCCAACTGTATAAGTAGGAACTGGGTTTGAATTTTGTGGCACATGAGCTCCTTTGGCTCAGTAACATTATAGGGTTGAGAAATCATTAAATTAAATAATTAGTCCTATGCATACTTACATGCCTATTGAAAATCATTTACCCAAAATGCATGTGAAAAGTAATATTCATTGGATCAATATGCACAGTAACCAAGTTAAAGAATTTCAAAGTCTACCAATGGATAACTGGTACAGAAAATGTGACTTGGAATTCTGCTTATCTTTAAAATGGAAATTTGTAACAAAATGAATAGAATTGAACATTTGAGGAACATCGTGTGAAGTAAAATAGTCCAAACATGTTTCGTTTACATGTAGATTATAGGCAATTGTCCTCCAGGCAGCATGGTGTACACTAGCTATTGCCAGGGCAGTGAGGGATGAGGAGACACATACAGGATAAGAGTATAAAATCTATCAAACAAAAGATTTCATTCCTTTGAGATAGTAAGATTTTATTCCTTTGAGATACATTGTGCAGCACATTCAATCCAGCAAATATGAATACACATTTCAAAGTTTCGGAGAATATATTTCTAATGTGTTACCATAAAAATGATGCATATTTCTAGTGATGGACATCACTTAATTTAGTTTGATATAATTATTTCACAAGATTGTTCATGAGTCATATTAGTTTTATACGTTAAATGTGTGATTACAGGTTGTCAATCTACAATTTTAATATCTAAAAATTCAGATCAGAATGTAGATGTGGTATATATGGTGAAGTACAGTCAGGGCCACAAGGTTACTGGCTTTGTTGATAAAAACATATGAAAGTAAGCACAGAGGGAACTTGAGGACAATTTTCGGAGTCAGAGAGATGGAGAATTCCCCAAGCACCGGAGAATTGGTGTGTGGGAATGGAAGAGTGGAGAGACAGAATGTTATACATTTAGTAAAGTTAAGCTAATGATCCTTGAAAGCAAGACAGGCTCATTAGGAGGGAAGGAGAAACACAGTTGTACTACTCTATGGTTGGTCAGGGGTACCCAGGTGTTCTGCTCTATGACTAGTCATGGGGTACCCAGGTTCTCTGCTCTGTTGTTGGCTATGTGGTGCCTAGGTCCTCTGTTATTTTGTTGATTATGGGGTTCCCAGGTGCTCAGCTCAGTTATTGGTTATGGGGTGACTATGTCCTGTGCTCTGTGTTTGGACTTTGAAGCAGGGCCAGAGTTATGACCTGACAGTCCCAAAGCTTGTCATGTAGCCCAGGCTGTCCTCGTGCCTCTGTCTTCCAAGTTCCCAAAGTCGTAGATTTCAGGCTTCCAGTTCTTCTCAGAATCTTATCCAGTCTTAGATTATCTTTTCCTTTTCCATCCTTTCTCTTTAATCTTCCCTTTGGTAGAGTGCAAAATGGATTTTTCTTTGATGTAGGAGGAAACTACTCTCCAATAAGGCCACCCTCATCTGATCTAATGTCTAACCATCACTGTGTACTAACATCTGAATGTCAGTTGAAAATGTGTTATGTAGTAGGCTGTTAGGCCCCAGTCATACAATCTGTCTTAAAGGAATCTGACATGTGTCCTGGAA